GCACTCTCATCTTGGACTTCCTGGCCTCCAGAACTGTAAGAAGTACATTTCTATTTAAGTGAATTGCCCAGTTGGTGGCACTGTGTCGTAGCAGCACAAAATGGACCTACACAGAAATGCCCATAGGGATTGGGAGCAAATTTAAGTCAAGGGTGCAGAAGTCTCCCTGAAGTAGTGACACAAGTTCGGGTACTTTAAGGCAGTTTATACTATGGAATAAGTGTCAAAACAGGACCCAGAGGGAATATAAGGATGAGAGGAACATTTCTGGCATAGGGATCCTTGTTTGAAAGGCTGGGGGTGAGGAACAGGGCATGGGAAAGATGGGCACCTCAGGACTCTGTGTGGCAGGAGCTCTGAGACCCCCAGGGGAGCCTCCATGGGTGGTAAAAGCTTTGCATCTAGGAAGAGACCTTGAGCCTCACTGGGAACCAGAGATTTTCAACAGGAGCCCCACAGGTGCTCAGGGCTCAGGATAGGCTTTGTTCTCATTTGAAAAGCTTGATGTGCTGTTACAGACATGGGCTCCTCTGATGGTAGGGAAGAGGTCCTCTCCCATCCAGAGGTGTGCTGGTGGCTGTGCTCCCCAACCGTGATGCTGCTAGTGCCATTGCTTTTGCCTAATGCCCCAATCTGAAAAGGATGCTGGCATTCCAGTGCCCACCGTGCCCTTTGTCAGAGGTTAGTCCTCTGATCTTTGCAAATCAGGAAGTGATCAAGGCCGAGGATTGTTCTTCTCCTTTGCCCATAACCATCCAGAGGCTGAGGAGCAGAAGTCTTTCAACCACAAGCTTTGAGGACAGACAGACAGACCCCGGACCAAATGTCAGTTGTTACTATAATTAGATGAGGGACATAAGCAAGCTCGCTGAATTTCACCTATTTAAAGGAAATATCAGCAATACCCACCGTGTGGAGCTGTGAGGATTAAGTCCTATAACATATGCTCTGCAGTGTACCATAGTTGTCACAGTCAGAGGCCACCATGGGGACAGAGGATAAACAAACTCCTGGGCCCTAACCCTGTTACCCATTAAAAGCATGATTTAGATTTTCTTCTGAGGCAGTCAGGTAATTTAAGGCATTTTTTGCTTAAAAAAAAAAAAAGGTGACTGCTCACTGGGGTTTACAGATACTGACTAGGTAACTAAAAGCAGAACAAACTTGACCTTTATTTTGTATCTGTCTCCTTTGTTAAACTTGGAGTGAAATCCCTTCTCACCTCTGCTTATAGGTATGTCAATCCTTTGAAAGTGTCTGTCTAAAAATTAGCAAAACAAAGCTGATTAGCCTGCAGTTTACATAACCTATCTTGCTCCCCTTCAAGCCCGAGCAGACCACAGCTTTGCAGGGACATTCAGCTATGCCTAGAAGTCTCCGGTGCCCTAAACCCACAGTCACCTTGGTTTCTAGCAGAGCCTCACAAGATTGAAATTTCCCCAAGCAAAAACTATGATCTCATGGGGCTGAACTGACCCCTCAAGCAGCAAAGGGCTTTCTCCCAGAGCCCACATGCAGAAGCAGAACTGAGATAATGATCACCAGACTCTAGCCAACCGCAGTGACTCTCTATAACTTGGCCTCGATCTTTTGTGAGCGGGACAGTCTGAATCTCCCCTTCACACCTGTGGCCCCTTTAGTTCCTCAAGCTGAAGCCCTTTCCCTGTTTTCTTTTTCTTTCCTGTGTTAGGGGCTTGGGTTGATCTTTGTGAGAAGCTATTCCCTCCTTTGTATTCTCTTACCTTCCACTTCAAGCTTTTAACTGTGAATTCATACTGAATGCCATTTTGATTCCCACTGTTACTGAGGCAAGGACCCACCATCGCCTGGAACACTGCTCTACGGAGTAACAAGGACCCTGTCAAAGTACTACGGGCTGTTCTCAATAAGGAGATATCAACAGCAACATATCCTCCCCACAGGGGATCTATTATCAGTATTTGGAAAGCCTGCAAGAAACCAAGGCTGTTTTTACAGAGGATCTAAGTATTGGCAGGCCGTGGTAACCGGCCGTGATTTTCCAATTTGCATCTATAAAAAAAACTCTTCTTTAAAAGGTCAAGAGAAGGGGCTGGGGATTTAGCTCAGCGGCAAAAGCGCCTGCCTGGCAAGCGCAAGGTCGTGAGTTCGGTTCCCGGTACCAGAGAAAAACAAAACAAAAAAAAAAAAAGGTCAAGAGAAAGCCAGGACCAGTGGCATGAACCTGTTATCACAGCTACATGTGAAGCTGAGGCAGGAGTAGCACAAGTGCAAGACCAGGCTGGGGAACTTACAGAGACCCTGTATCAAAATAAAATTTTAAAAGGGCTGGGGATGTAGCTCAGGGATACGGAGTCTGTCTGGCCTGCAAAAGGCCCTGAGTTCCATTACTAACATTACAAAAAAAAAAGTCTTGAGAGAAGTAACTTACCTAAGCTTGTGGCACAGTTTGCTAACTTGAAATTATGAGTTGGGGTGAAGGAGGAGCAGTGAAGAACAAACAAATTTTACCAAAAAGAGCCAGATCAGGAGCCATAGCACATGGAGTGAGAAATGAAGACAACTCTGTCCCGGATGCTGAACTGCTCCTGCCTTCATGGGGTTCCAGTTGGAAAGAGCTGAAGTTGCCGGTGGAAATGCTGTCAAAACTCCCACGTTGATCTCCAAACATTAAAATGCACCTCCCACATGCAACTCCTTCCATCCCTGACACCTCAAAGCCACGGAACACATGTGAACAATGGGCTCTGTGAGCCGCTGGGAGAAGCGCTGGTTAAGCTCAAGCCTTGATGCCAATCCTTGAAATTTCCAGAAAATTCCAAAACCATCCTGAAATTTCTAATGTCTGCTGCTCTGGCCAGACTTATAGCAAATTTAGATTCATCAGACTCAGGGAAAATTCACTTTCTCTCCCAAGAAGTGGCAGGAGCCAAGCTGAGAGCCAGTATCTGTGACAGGATGGGGGGCTTGGCCACACCTGACCAACTGTCACTGACATCCCGAGGCAGTGTGGCCAGGGAAGCAGGCAGGCTGGGACCCGGTCAGAATCCAGCACATACCAATGGCATAAGGTCTCCAGGCTCTCGGATGGCAATTTCCATATCTGTACGGGGGAGGCAATAACTCTCTCAAGAGTTGTGGAAGGACAAAAAAAGAACATGTTTAGTAAATGACAGCTGATAAAAGAAGATTTCTACAGTGCTCTAAATTTAATTGCAGAGTTCCTAAAATAGAGGGGGACAAACAAGATAAAGGAAGTTAATCAGATGACAGCTTTGGGAGAAACTAACCAAAGTCTCTTTCAACTTGAATGTCTGATGGTGACTGTGCTCTGTTTATGCAGAGATTTCTGGACGGTTGACTGCACATCACCCAGAGGCAGTGCTTCTCACAGATGCCTCCCTCCGACGCCAGGGCTTTCCCACCCCTCTCGTCCACCGGCAGCGCTTAAACTCTCCCCTCAAATTTTTGTTATAAACAGACTCTTGGCTCTAGGTCTAGTGGTCATTTTCCCACCTGCTATCTGGTGTGGAGAACTCATTCCAGGACTTAGCCCTGTCCTGGCTGGTATCTACAAAGATTTCTAGTTTTAAATTTATTTATTTTGTGGTACTGGGGATTGAACCCAGGGCCTTCACATTGAGCCATACTCCCAGGCTGATTGATTGATTGGTAAGAACAGATACTACACTTGATCTTAGCCAAAAGGCCAAGAAGCGATTATTTATTTATATACTTATTTTTATTTTAAGATAGAGTCTTGCTAAGTTGCTAAATTACCCAGGCTGGGCTGGAACTTTCGATCCTCCTGCCTCAGCCTCCCAGAGTACTGGGATTACAGGTTTGTGCCACCACACCCAGCTTCTATATCCCTAACATCAAGTGGATGCTTTTTGATTAAATTTTTTATTTTTATTAGTACATGTTGACAATGCATGATGATTACATTCACTGTGGGGAATTGGTACATGTATGTAACATCTCAGTTCTTGTTTTTCTCCTTTTCCTTCCACCTCCTGAATAGATACTCTTTTTAAATCTTTTATCTTTTCTATTTCGATGGTCCAGAGATTAAACCAAAGGCCTTTTGCAATGAGCTACATGCTCAGGACTCAGTCCTCAGTCTGTTTGTGTGTTTGTTTTTGTTTTTGAGACAGGGTCTCACTAAATTGCCGGATGAGGCTTGAGCTTCCAATCCTCCTGCCTCAGCTTCCCAGAGTGCTGGGACTACAGGTGTGCACCACTGCACCTGGCAACCCTTCTCTTTCAGAGATCCTTCAGTCTCAAGAGTTTTAGTTTGACATTGCTATGATTAACTTTAGAATAAAAGTGATTTCTTTCTTATTCTTAATTATTTAAAATGTGGAACGTACACATAATCAGAAAGAAGAAATTTTAAAAAGAAAATCTGTATCACCCAGAGATATTATCTATTAATATATTGGTAGTATACTCCCTATCTGCAAGTAACTATGCCTGCACACAATACACACACACACACATACACACACACATATTTTGTTTTGTTTGTGACAGTCTTGTTATGTAGTGCAGGCTGGCCTTGAACTTACTTGGTAGCCCAGGCTGGCTTCAAACTCCTGGCAATCCTCCTGCCTCAGCCTCTCAAGTGCTGGGATTACAGACGTGCACCACCACAACTGGCTCATATACACTTTGTTAATGGGCCCATATTTCAGTACTCGCGTGTTTCCTCCTCGTTGTATCGCTAACTTCTGGCTATAACAACAATTACAGGAGGCTACAGTTTTGGACTACATTCCTGCACTAGACTCACAGATGAGATTAAAATTCAAAATAGAGTCACCCACGCTGAAGCTCGGTTACCAAACTGAAACTACACTTCGTATTTGGCCTTCCGAGAAATCAGGAGGACGGGCAGATTTTACAAACAGGCCAGTTTTAGTCGGCATAGTGAAGAAGTTCCCTCCCCTGGAGCCACACACACACACACACACACACACACACACACACACACACACACACACGGTTAATCGCCCAGCTCGGTGGTTCTGCGGTGTGGACCCCGCCCATGGCATCGGCTCTCAGCCCACCCAGGAGCCCCTAACTGTGGCTGTTGGTTATAACCCGCTTTCCTCTCCTCCTCGCCCGTGATTTACTGCAAAATGTACTAACGCCGCCCCACAGCCCTCCCCGTCCCGCAAGGGACCCCACGCCTTGCGCAGCGGAGCCCGAGCCTGGCGCTGCGCCTCCTCCCGCGGGGCCGCCCCACCTGGAGTCCCGGCCGCCCGGGGAGGCCCCTGGCTCCGCCCCACTAGCGCCGCCCAGTTACCTGCCCACCGGGCGGGGGCTGGCGCGGGCGGCCCGGACTTGGGCCGAGCACCGGAGGCCCCGGGGCCGCGATGTCTGGGCCTGGCCGGTGGGCGCCCCTGCTCCTCCACCTGCTGCTGGCCGCTCCAGGTAAGGGCGCGGGGCCGCGGCGGGCGCGATCGGGCCCGGAGGGGACGTGGGGTGGGGACCCGAGGGCCCTCCCTACCCCTCGGGGCTAGCTCGCCGCGGAGTAAACAGACCCATTCTCGAAATCCCATGGGGAAGGAAACAAAGCCAGCCAATTCCAGTCCAGGTTCGGGAACTGGGGAAAGAGCAGAGCTGAAAAGTATTTATTCTTCAAGTTCTTCTTAATCGCCTTCTAGCATCGCGGCATCGGTGACACGCTTTACCCAGACTAGTAGGGGGAAGAGGACAGAGGCGCCCTGACCCGTCCCCCACAGGCCTGGGGGCAGAGCGCGGGCTTGAGCCCTGACCCGGACTCTATAACCAGGCGCCTTTTCTCTGAGTCCTCCTGATTTATCAGCAGGTTACAAAACACCTCTGGTTAGGACCCAGCCACCGAACTCCTACCTTACCCACTCCCACCAAAGGAGGAGCCAGGCCCCAAATTGCTCCCCCACCCCCACCTTCTTCGTCTCAGACCTGCAATTTAAAGAGCTAGAAGAGCCCTGGGACGAATCCAAAAAAATCATAAAAACTAATTTTTTTTTAACAGCTTCTTTTTGGCGGGCATCACATTGTCCTATTCAAGTTTAGTAATCCAGCGGTCGTCTAAGGTGGGTATTCTCCACCTTCAGATGGGGAAACAGGCTCAGAGCAGTTAAGAGACCTGCACAAGAAGGACAAGGGAAACACACAGAGAAGAGGGGCCTGCGGCTGAGTGGCCAGCCTGCGCCTCAGGTGGGCAAGGGAGGGGGCAGTCCATGCCCAGGTCGCTGCCAGCGCTCCCACCGCTCCCACCGCAGTGCTTTTGCAGCTAATGAGAGACTGCCCCAAGCCGGCTTGTGTAGACCCAGGCCGATTATTTGACCTTTGTCTCTGAACCCAGGACCATTCTATAAAGGGGAATGATTGCCACCTACCTGTCAGTGTTCTTGGTCCCAAAGTTTGAATGAGGTTTTGCATATCAAAGGCCAAAAGGCTGGGGATCTTCTGAAGGCTCAATAGAGTGTTGTCACTCTAGCTGCCCTTATTCCCGAAGCCAAGCTCAGATTTCAAGACGTCCTGCCCACAGGATACCTTCTGAGTGGCCTGGACATGGACTGGCCTCCTGCTAGGCACTTGCTGGCCAGTCCAGGAATGGAGAGTCGTGACAGTGTCACCATCACAATGATCCAGTTCCCACTAGAGGGGACAGGATGAGGGGAAGAGGTACCTACATTTGAGTCTAAAATGTCAGGGAGACAGCCCAGGCTGGCAAGCTGAGCTAAGAGCCAACACCAGACCTGGGCCGGGTCCCTGGTGCCGTTCCGCAATGTGTGGGGACTTCCAGCATAGCCCAGTGACAGCTCAGGGCTCAGACTTCTGCCAGACCATGAGCTCCTCTGCAGGGCTGGAGGGGGTGCTATGCTCCCTTCCGAAACCCTGGCACATAGTGGGCGACAGGTGGCATTGACCGACAGTGGGTTAAGGCCACATAGGCCCCAGGAGAGCCTAGAGGAGGAAGCAGGATCAAGAGCTCAGACTTTGGAGTCGGCTGGGCCTCGATCTGAATCCTGGATCTTCTGCTCACTGGCTGAGAGCACCTCGATATTCCCACCTGTAACGCTCGGAATTAGTATCTACCTCCTGCAGTGTGGTGACGTTTAAAAGAGAAAATTCAGTTAAAGTGTTTGGCACAGCCTGGCCCGTGGCTAGAACACAATGCACATCTGTCAGCTACTGTTGCTATTTTCATCATCGTCCTCATGGTCACCCTGCCACCACCTCTTAGAGACGTCACAGGAGACTCCCTGGAGGCAGTGACATTTGAATCAAGGCTTTCAAAGAGCAGAGTCCAGCGACATCCGAAAGAGTGCGGTGGCTTGGGAAAGCGAGAAGGAAGGTTGGCTGCGGCCTGTCAGCCTGTAGGGGAGCGCTCGGGGAAGCAGTGTAATCCTGGCGGGTCTCAGAAGATAAGGGGTAGCAGCGAGAGGATGGGGTGTCCAGGAAGGAAGTAAAGGCCAGTGAGAGGTGGACAGGGAACGTGTCACGGAGACAGTGGCATCAAAAGTGTGACAGAAGCCAAGAAGAGGTGAGGCAGGCGGACATCCAGGGCAGCACCGTCCACGCAGAGGGAGCGGCGGGAGCAGAGGCCCAGGCTGGGAGCGGAAGAGCCAGAGACCCTGCGGCAGGGAGCAGGGAGCAGGGAGCAGGGAGCGAGGGGTGGGTGTGTGGGCTGGGCGGCGCCTTGGCATGGCAGGGAAGACGGGAACTGATGCCAAGGGAGAAGGTCTAAGTGGAAGGGGGCGAAGTCTGACTTTCATCTCAGCCCTTGCTGATACGGAGAAGGTAGGTGGCGGGGAGAAGGTGTTCTGAGAGCCCCCGGTTAAACTGGGGCTCCACTCTGGGCACGCTGACAGCCCTGTCCTCGAGGGAAATGGCGTGGGCATTTTCTGCGTCCCTGTCACGGGGGCCCATTTTTAACTGGCAGCTACCCTAAGGCCTGGTTGTTCCAGCCCCCAGCCGGGAGTCCCCCCCGTGCACAGGTCGTGTTTATCCTGGCAGAGGCAATACAGCTCTTGTCTGTCCACTGTGCGCTACCTGGCCGTCGCTCTGGAGCCAGACTTACGCTCTCCCGGGTGTCCTGGGGAAGTCCGGCCGGGGAAGCCCTTAGCTCTTCAGATGGAAGGTGTGAATTCAAGGCATCACCCCACTAGGAAATAAGATCAAGAGTTTATTACGCAGGTCCTGGGCAGGGAGGGTACAGTCCTCTGTCCCCAGGTGAAGTGAGGCGGGAATGGAGGATCAGGCAGACAGAAAGAGAAGCAGCTTACAGTATTGGTGGGGACCACTTCAGGTTCACGGGAAAACAGCTGAAGAGTCTGTTTAAATAAGAGGTCTCGGGGCAATCAGGAGCCCCGTCTGCTAGGTGGGAAAGATGCCTCTAAGTTCGTATCTCGGGCCCAGCTGCCACTGTTTGGGTGTGTGACTGTTAACGAACACCCTCGTAGCTGCTGTGCTCCCACTTCACTGGGTTGAGAGCCGGGGGGTGCGTTCGGAGGACTTCTGAGGGATCCAGTTATTTCAATATTCATCCACTCAGGAAGTATTTATTGTGTACGCGCTGTGTGCCAGGGGCCGTGAGACCATCAGAGCAAGGTGAGGCCTTCGCTCCTTGAGACCCTCAGGGCTGCTGGCCCCTGGGGTCCAGAAAGGGAGCAGAGATGGGTTCCTGCTCTGTGGTGTTCTGCGGGTCCCCTCAGCTGCTACAGAGGAGGGGGCTTCCCCTCACGGCACTGGGGACTGGGAAGGGGAAGAGTCCAAAACACAGCCAGCCACCTGCTCCTGGCTCCCCAAAGCTGGAGGAACTGCCTGCCATGCAGCCAGGAGCTCCAGGCTTAGCCAGCATGATGGCGCATGCCTGAATCCCCATGCCCTGGAAAGAAGCAGCAGGAGGCTCCCAAGCTTGGGCCCAGCCTGAGCAGTTTAGCAACTTAGCGAGACCCTGTCTTGAAATAAAAATTACCAAGGGCTAGGATGTAGGCCAGTGTGAAGCTCAGCTTTCAATCCTCAGTATTAAAGGGAAAAAAGAAAAAAAAAGAGCTCAGGTCTTCATGACCTCTTTCTGCCCCGCAGGGAGACCCCTCCTAGCCCCTCCGCGGAATGTGACCCTGTTCTCTCAGAACTTCAGTGTGTACCTGACGTGGCTCCCAGGGCTGGGCAACCCCCAGAACGTGACCTATTTTGTGGCCTATCAAGGGTAAGTAGGGGCCTCTGGGGTATGTGTGTCGGGGGGAAGCTGCTCAGGGAGAGCTGTGTGGTCCCCAGTGGATCTCTGGGCCACATCGGTGATGGCACATGGCAGGCATGTGGGGAGAGACTTTCGATAAAGGTTGGAGATGGTGGGGATGATGTGGCGTAGAGAACAGTGAACAGGTGACAGACAGACAGGGGTGGGGTGCGTCTTTGAGAAAAGTTAGAGCAGGTGTTGGGTGAAGTATGGGGCCAAGAGACCGGCGGACGGAGTGCTTGGGTGCCCAGATGAGGCTCTTGGAGTTGTTCCAGCTGATTAGTGAGGGTAACCACATGGCCAAGGTCTGGTACTGTCCCCTGCATAGCCTGACCACCGCGGCATCATTAGATAAACACACTTTCCCCGGGGGAGCTGGGCAGAGCCCAGGATCCTTCCCAACCTGGAAGCCCAGGCCCCCCGCTGCTCATCCAGGGGAATCTGAAGTTAGAAAGCAGACTCGCCATCTTTGAAGAAACACGAGGGTTGTATGGAGTTCTTCGGCGGGACAGGAAAAGGACAGAAGCATACACTCAGCAGGATCTGTCTGGATTTGAGGGAGGAAACCGGAAGGGGCAGAGCTGCCATGTGCCCAGGCTCCAACCTGGGCCAGGCCTAGTGCCACTGGCCTGGGGGAAACAGTTCATTTCCTCTTCCCAGGACTTGTTTCCAAGTTTTAGAGGGGAGGGGAGCGAGCTCAGAGAGGTGCCCTGACTGGTCCAAGGAAGCTAGTGGCGAGCCGCAGGAGGAACCCGCGCCCATCTGACCCCAGAGCTTCAGTGTGTACCTGACGTGGCTCCCAGGGCCCTTCCTGTTCCTTCCCAGTCCCTGCATCTGTGAGGGACAGGGCCCTGGCCTGGGCAAGGACAGCCTGCAGGAGAGCTTTCAAAGCAAGAACCCTATCAGGAAGCAGGAAGTACCTAACAGACTGTGTCACGCACTGTTTGTACCTTACTAATGTGTTTTGGTCGTTCTAAGGTGCTGGGGATTGTTCTAAGCTCCGGGCCTTGAACATGCTAGGCTTGCACTCTACCACTGAGCTACACGTCCAGCCCCGTGTCAGAATAGTCACCATATTTTATCTCCCAGCAGCCCCAGGAGGAAGGGCCCATACTGCCCTTCACAGAGAAGGAGACTGAGGCGCCGAGGGTGTATTTTGCTCAAAGTCACCCAGCTAGATGTAGTATGGCAGGGATAACTATTAAGGAATTATTAAGCCCATCCTCTGGACCTCTGTGTTTTTTCCCTTCTTTTTTATAGTTTGTTAAACACCTGTGAAGCCAGTCCTGGTGGCACACGCTTGTAATCCCAGCACTTGGTAGGCTGAGGCAGGAGGATCAACGTGAGTTTAAGGCCAGCCTGGGCTACACACTGAGTTCAGGACCAGCCTGAACTGCAGAGTGAGACCTTGTCTCAAAAAGACGAAAACAAGAACAACAAAAAACACCCGTGAGGATTGCAAAATGGTGATATTCTAATGGCATGAGTTTTCTCATTTGTTACTTGGAATTATTTAGTAAAAACATACATCTTCTCATCTACTATTTGAGATCCAGGGGCTCAAATAAGCAAGACAGGATCAATGGTTGCTTTTCTTCTATATATGAGTTTTCCAAAAAAAATGAATTGGCTCCTTATCTTCTCCTGAAAGTAACTAAATAGTATTATCATTATCATTATGAACTCAAATATTTAGGCATGTCTCCTGGTGTCAGTGTCCTGCAACCTGTTCTACAAGGTGAAACTTCAGTTTTCCCATCCTGGGCCAACAGGTTCCTTCAGGAGGGTTCCTGCGCCCTTTTAACTTCACTCTGTGATCTCCGACATCTTTCTTTTCTATTACAAGATGGCCCGGGCTCCTTGTGTACATTCCTGACCAAAAGCCCACAGTGAGGCATCTCTCTGTTTAGTACAAGGAGGTTTTAAAGACCACAGACTGTGCGTTGGCTGTGCGGCCTCTACATAGGTGGAGCTCTGGGCTTGTTTCTGTGAACAAGGATAGCCGTGTATCCCGTCGACATATGTATGTAGCGTGTCTGAGTTCGTACTGAGCTTCTGTGTTGCATCTGTGTTTTCTTTCATCCACACTAAAATCCTGGTTCTCCAGAACATGGGAGCTTGTAGAATTGGCCTGACCTATAACTACTCGCTACTCCTGTTCTTTATTTGCAAATAGACATAGTAGCCCCTGGGAGATGATGGGCTCTTTTTTGCCCAAACGTTTGTTCCTTCTTCTTTAAAATTCAGTAATTTGACTGGAGTATGTGTTGATGTTGGTTATCCTGGGTTGATATTTTTAGTCAGTTCTCCACCCTCTCTTTCTTTCTTTCTTTCTTTTTTTTCCTATTTGTCTTTTTGAGACAGGGTCTCACTATGCAGTTCAGGCTGGCCCTAAGCTCACTTTGTAGCCCAGGCTGGTCTCGAACTCACAAGGATCCTCCTGCCTCAGCCTCCAGAGTGTTGGGGTTACAGGCGTGCACCACCACACCCAGCCCCTCTCTTTCTTCTGTAGACCTGGGATTTGATCTAGCGCCTATGCACTCATCTACATCCCAGCCTTTCTTTAATTTCTTCATTTTGACACAGGGTCTCATTTAGGCAGTCAGCTGTCCAGAGCTCAATCTTGCGATCCTCCTGCCTCAGCCTCCCACAGTGCTGAGATTACAGACATGCACCACCACACCTGGCCTAATATTCTCTCTTAATATATAGTTCCAATGTTTTTTTTTTATTTTGGGAAAATTTTTCTTATAGTTTTTAATATTTGTTCTGTTCTCTTGCTTTGATTTTCTTTTTCAAGTACTCATATTATCTGTATGTTGGGTTTTCTTTTTCTGTCTTCTGTATTTGTCTGTTTCTTTCAAATCCCATTTACTTATGTATTTCATTTATTTGTGCTGTTCTCTAAATGGAATGGATTTCACTCAAGTTTTTAAAAGTTCTGTGTGCTTCTGTTTCAGGGTTATTCAACATCTCATTTGTATTCTTTACATTGATTCTATGTACTTGTCCTTAAAATCTAGGCCTTCTCTAAATGACATGTGTATAACGGAGAATGCCCCCTTTTTAAATATCCTTGTTAGATTCCATTTTTCTGTTTAAAGCAACAATATTGAATTGAAGCATACCTAGAACAAAATGCCCTATTTTAAGTATCACCGGACAAGTGCTGACCAGGGTGTACACCCATGAAATCACCATTGCAGTCAAGATATAGAACATAGGGGCCAGGGATATAGCTCAGTGGCACGGCGCCTGCCTGGCAAGTGCAAGGTCCTGAGTTCAATTCCCGGTACAAAAAAAAAAAAAAGATATAAAACATGGCCCAGTGTGGTGGTGCACGCCTGTAATCCCAGCACTCAGGAGGTTGAGACATGAGGACTGCTGTGAGTTGGAGGCCAGCCTGGGCTACAGCAAGTTCAAGGCCAGCCTGCACTATATAATGTTGACACTGTCTCAAAAAAAAAAAAAAATATATATATATATATAAAACATCTCCATGACATCCAAAAGCTCCTTTGTGCCTCTTGGAATCCAACCTCACCCCCAGCCCCAGATGTAGTCACATGCAGATCTGCTTGCTTGCTTTTTTTTCTTTGTCTTTTTGAGACAAGGTCTCACTATGCAGTTCAGGCTGGCCTTGAGCTCTCTATAAGGCTGGTCTCGAACTCACAACAATCCTCCTGTATCAGCCTCCTGAGTGCAGGGATCACAGGCATGTGCCACCACGCCCGGTAGATCTGCTTTCTGATAGCATGGATTAACTTTGCATGTCCCAGAGTCTCCCACAGATGCATTTGAATAGTATGTGCCCTTTTACGCCTGGCCCCTTTCAGTCAGCCAATGGCTCTGAGATGCGCCTACACTGTCCCCCCCATTAGCAGTTCGCTCCTCTTTATTCCTGAGTGGTAGGCCACTTTTACCATTTCCCATCAGGGGGCATTTGGGTTGTTCCCACTATATTCATCTGCTAGGGCTGCCATAGGCGCCACCCTGTAGCTTACCAAAATTCACGTTCTCATATGCAAAATACATGTTCCCCTTCCCGACAGCCCTGGGAGTATTAATTCACTCCACCTTCTGTTTCAAGTCCAAAGTCTCAACGGTGTGACTTGAGGTATGTGTCATCCGGAGGCAGTTCCTCTCTACCAGTGAACCTACGAAACCAGATGGGTCAGGTGCTTCTAACATGAGATAGTGGAGCCAGGTGTGGTGGCGCACACCTATAATCCTAGCACTTAGGAGGCTGAGGCAGGAGGATTGCCATGAATTTGAGGAGAGTCTGGGCTACATAGAGAGACCCTGTCTCAAAAAAGAAAGAAAAAGAAAGAGAGAGAGAGAGAGAGAGAGAGAGAGAGAGAGAGAGAGAGAGAGAGAGAGAAAGAGAAAGAGAAAGAGAAAGAGAAAGAGAAAGAGAGAGAAAGAGAGAAAGAGAGAAAGAGAGAAAGAGAAAGAGAGAAAGAGAGAAAGAGAGAAAGAGAGAAAGAAAAGAAAAGAGAACTGTGGAACATGGATATATTCCCACTCCAGAAGGGAAGAACAGGAAAGTGATAGGTGCTAGACAAATGTAAAAGCTAGCAAAGCAAATTCTCTTTGCTTTTAAGGCTCAGGAAATTATCATCCTTAGCTCTGTGCTCTTTCCTCTGCGCCACGCAGGTGGAACCAGCAGGCTGGTGCCAACCCCTCTGCTGCCCTACGGGACAGCCTTGTCCCTGAGACCCTGGCGAGCAGCACCCCAGCCTGCGGAAACTGAGGAGGGACACCTTGCTCCCTAGTCTTCGGGTGGCAGCGGTACCCTGCGGAGCCCATGTCACCCTCAGGGTCTCTGCCCTGTTCTTGTAGGAGATGCAGGTCCACATGGCTCCGTGGTCCCTTCCGATAGTCTTGCTTCACTTTGTCCCCCGTCACCGGAGCTGGCGGGGCCTCTGCTGACATCCATCCCATCTCTGTTTTTTGTACCACGGAGTTGG